CTGCGGCAGAGATACTGTATACTCCTGGTGCTCTCAATATGTCTATATTGTCACTAACAGGTCACTAAATTTAAGATTGAAAGTACATAAGTACAACATCAAAACAAATCATGTTACCACTCTAGCCACACTCTAGAACTGGAAATAAAAGCAAAATTTAGAACAAGCCAAACTGATTCGGCATGCATTTCACAATTACCAGATCAGAGCCTTAGTGACTCTAGAGATATTTAAAGCAGCAAAAAAAGGGAAAATCCTTAACTGTAAAGATTGCAAAACATTTCAGCAGCTTGGCAATTTTTCTAACAACAATATCCAGAAGATTCATAAGCACGATGGCAAAAAAATAATTATATTTTAATTTATTAAACATCACTGCTAAACCTTTACTTCCGGTAAGATATATTATAAAAACAAACAAATGTTCTCGATCTTATCTAAGATCGGCCCAGGTTCTTGGATCACTTGAGTTCCAATTATGGAATGCTGAGAATTCGAATGTTTTTTAGATATAAGCTATTTAACAATTCAAGAAAAAAGATTTAAAATAACATAATAAATTAATATATACAAATACAGTCGACCCCCGTATAAGATCATTGATTATTCCGTTTTATATGAATTCCATGTTGTACGAGTCACTTAGATTTTACAAATACGTGTACCGGGCTGTGAACGGCTCACGTATTTGTAAAATTTAAGTGACTTGTACAACATGGAATTCATATAAAACGGAATAATCAATGATCTTATACGGGGGTCGACTGTATAGACAAAAGTTCTCCAATTTTTGTGTATTAATGTGGGATCACATCTACAGGGGAATAATATGCATTGTTTAAAGCTATGGTTGGCAATGCTCCTCGCATGCGATACGCATGTGAGGAGCATTGAATGATATCGAGTTACTGTCCTTGAAATTAATACACTTCTCATCTGGTTAGCTTTGTATAACTCAAGGGTATCCTTAGTCCTAATGTGGTCAGTCTGGAACAAACATTTTATAAGTCTGGTGTTTTGTAGGTTGGCCTGCACCCCATGGTCAGTGACGTAGGCGGACAAGGCGGCAGTGTGCCTTTTTTGGTTGATGTCGTACTTGTGTTCCATGATTCTTTTATGTACAGAACGTTTGGTCAACCCTATGTAGACCAAATCCCTCTGGAACTTGTGGTCCCTGATTGGAACACTGTACACCCCTGTCATGAAACACTAACATGACATCAACAAAAAAAGGCACACCACTGCCTTGTCCTCCTATGCTGCTGGCCCTGGGGTGCAAGCCAACCTACAAAACACCAGACTTATAAAAAAATTGTTCCAGACCAACCACATTAGGACTCTGGAGACCCTTGAGTTATACAAAGCTAACCAGATGAGAAGTGTATTAATTTCAAAGACAGTAACTCAATATCATTCACTTGGTGATACGCATGTGAGGAGCATTGCCAATCATAACTTTAAACAATGCATATTATTCCCCTGTAGATGTGGTCCCACATTAATACACAAAAATTGGAGGACTTTTGTCTATATTTGTTTATATTAATTTATTATGTTATTTCAAATCTTTGTTCTTGATTCCAAAACCATTAAATAACTTGTATTTAAAAAACATTCGAATTCTCAGCATTCCATAATTGGAACTCAAGTGATCCAAGAACCTGAGGCAGATCTTGGATAAGATGAAAAACGTATGTTCATTTCTAAAATATATCTTACTAGAAGTAAAGGTTCAGCAGTGATGTTTACATGTACTGGTAATTTATCCAGAAATTTCTATTCATTTATTAGTTTTAACATCAGTTAAAATCTGAAATTTTTGTCAACTTTTGATTTATAAATTCACGTAGAACACACACTTAAATGACTTAATCTTCCAATTTTTGAATCTGTGAAGTATTAATTAATTAAAACTCCAAAACCTTTAAACGTCCAGTAGTAATCAATTTAATAATAAACAAACGTTTTCGACCGTACTCTCGGTCTTCATCAGGTTTAAAATCAGTTAGATTCTGTGAAGTAAGTTATGGAATACCTATACATTCTAGAATAGAGAGTATAATGTTTATGGTTTGGACATGAACTGAACTAAATTGTAATGAACTGAAAATGTTTGTCAGTTCATTAAAATCTATGCTGAATTATTGAAAATTAAGGTTGTCTTTATGAGCTGTTCTATTTCCAATGGTTGAAAAATTTCTTACATTAGTTATTAAATATTTGATATATTAGACAATTAAATTTCAATTAATCCACTTTAAATTTTAATCAATAGACTTTAATTTATCATCAGACTACAACAAAAATTCATTCAGATTAATATACCACTCACTAAATAAACCATCACCAGTTCATAACCAAACAGAAAAATTCTTGCTACAAACGTTTTTGTCTATGTGTAATAGACATCCTCAGATCTTGATGATATTGAACTAACAGCTATTAGAATAGAATGATTTTTTAAAAAATCGGATCAATTTCATAATTCAAATAAATTTAAATTATCCTTAATGTGCATTTCAGTCGTCGGGATCTAGATCAAAAATGTGCGCCACGCTGTGGAAAGCATGTCCATTTCCTTGAAGTTAATAGCGACTCCCCTTTTAATTGCCCGATAGATCTCAAGCAATTCGAGGTACTTGAGTTGTGCCTTATCCGATACTCTGTGTAGCAATTTAACGTTCTGTAGTCCAACGTGCAAATCCTCATTACTTACATATGTCGTTAACACTGTAGTAGTCATCTTTTTTCTTATGGAGTATTCATGTTCTTTCATCCTCATGGCGAGATCTCTTGCTGTTGCTCCAATGTATGTTAATGAGTGGTTAACTTGATCATCTTGAAGAGGAACTGCATAAACCCTGGAGAGTATGAGTCATCTATGCAGTTTTTATCATTTCTAATGAGAGAGAAGACTGTTGGAGAGTGTCGATATGTTATGTTTATTTTAGTGGTCCTTGCAATTTCTCTATATATATTAGAAAGTGTTTTGTTGTATGTAATAACCCTCATCCGTTTGTCTTGAGGAACAGTCCTCTCCCTCTTATTTATATATTGTTTTATGAGATGCTTAACCAAAGAGGACGGATATCCATGTTGTGTTGCAAGGGACTTGATCCATGACAATTCGTTTTGCTTTTTATTTTGCTTCAAACAATGTGTGTATGCCCCTTTTTACCAAAGATCAAAAAGCGGAGACTTTGTAACAGTAAGGGTCATGTGAATGGTTAGGAATAAACAGAGATGTATATGACTCCTTACGAAACACACAGGTGGAAAGATAACCATGCTCCATTTTGACAGTGATATCCATGTACCATCATATGACTCTCTTGTTCAACTTTCAACAACAGGCCATAGGAGTTATTGTTAAAATACTTAAGTACCAAGTCAAAGTTAGGTACTTTGTTCCATACTATGACAATGTCATCAATATACCTGACATACAATGCTATGTCCTCTTGAAATTTAGGTAATATGGTATTCAGGTGTTTTCTGACCACTAATTCACAGAGTGTTCCTGATATTGGGCTACCCATAGGCACACACCTCATCTGTATGTAGGTGATCCCTTCGTATTCAAAGAAGGACGAGTGCACCATCAAATGTGATATATCTAACACATCAGGGAAATGACCCTGGGGTATAAAGAATTTTTCTGTTTGGTTATGAACTGAACTGGTGATGGTTTATTTGGTGAGTGGTATATTAATAATTACCCAGTTTTTTGAAATATACTCATTCACATTCATCATTATTATACTCCCCAATTATTACTTGCTACATATTAAACTAAATTTTTTCAAAGTGTATAAAGAGTTGTTATTGTTTCATGTTATATATAAATGTTACAACAATAAAATATTTTTAAAATTATTAAAATTTTAACAATAAATAGATTTAAAACAATATACCGGATGCATGTTGACAAGCCATCCTACTATTTCTGCCGATTCTTGATATCGTTTAAAGCCAAATTTCAAATCAATTTCATCATTAAACAATGATTGCTGCAATCTCCGTTCGGATGTATCGTCTTTACTATAAAATAAAATTGATCAAATATTACAGTTACATCTAAAAGTCCTATTGGCAATAAAAATTCTTGCAAGATTAAATTATTAATTATGAAATATAGTACAACTAATCATGCTAATACAGTGGTTCTAAAACTTTTGTGACTATTACATATGTTGAACATGTTAAACATGTTGCCATTTCAAGAAATGACTAGATATCTCTTGAAGCCTAGCACATCCTGTAATAAAACATTTATTTCAGAATCTGTCTAGTTTTTCTGGTCACTTCTTGAAATGCTAAACTGACTTCTGCAGATGTTTAAAGATATTTCAGCATCTGTCCAATGAAGCTGGGCATTTCATGTAATGTTTAATGGCCTATTAGTATGTGGCATAAACAAGATAATTGAATGTTTCTGCACTTCTATATGTGGTACCTTTGTTGGATATACTGTAAATTATTCAATAAAAAATACACCATCTAATACATTTAGATCTATATCAATTTTAGCAAAATAATTTTACTAAATAATTATTTTTGTAAACAAAAAATGTAGTCTTATATTTTAAATTTAAATATATTTAATGGTTATAAAATATAAATGAAATAAAATAGAGAAGAAATTTAAAATTACTTATATTTTTCATTCAAAGAAAAAATTTCAGTGTTGGTTTTTCCAAAATTTTTTCAGGGTACATTACTAATTTATGATGTTTTATAATGAAGAAAACAAAAATTAATGCTACATATATAACAAAACACTACTGAAAAATCAAACTGCATATTTCAGTAGCAAACATAAAATAATAAATCCTCAAGCAAGCAAAAGGGTAATGTTGGCAGCATTGCAGCAAAACTTTATTTTCTAACGTTTGCAGCAATGTGCTTTGTTGTAAACAAACTGTACAAAAATTGAGTCAACACTTANTAAAAAGTTTTATTTTTTAATTGACAAATATTTCTAAAATTTAAATTACTTTTCAAAATACTTCAATCAAGAGTAGAATATTACAAGTTAAAAATACATACCAATCAAACATATCACCGTTGTAAGTCACAAAAACAAGAGGTTTTACTTCATAAATATGATCAAAAAAACGTTGAATCAAACTAACCTAAAAAAAAAAATTCATTTAATTCATTTTTCCTTCAATTATTTCAGTTTTAACATTTATACTTACAAAAGAATACAAACTTTTTAAAATAACATAATATTTATTTAGTGAATGTATTTCAACACATTTTACGCAATTCTACAGTGTGTGTCTACTCGATCTTGAAAAAAAGATTTGAGACTGATTTTTCAATTTTTCATAGACAATTTTCAGATTTTTCCATATTCATTTTATAACATTATTTTTTAAATTCTTATCAATTCATAATTTTTTAGATAGGTGTTTCTATATCAATATTTTCATAATGTACAAAAGAAAAAAACAATACATTTAAAAGTTTTTACATAAATCTCCTTGAAATAATTTCAAAACATGTAATATTACAGTTATAATAAATTAAATATATTATAAGATATAGTTATCTCTAGTCCTTATTGAAAATTACAGTGTAAATATCCTTATGAATACAATTATAAACATTTATATTTAGTGTTATAATGATTTAATAATAAATCTTGTTAACTGGAGAACTGATTAAATGATAACAGCTCAAGCTTCTTCCTGCAGAGATATTCTATTTCATCAAACGTTTTAAACTGTCTAAGCAGCCATCCTCAGAACTGAATGCAAATTGATTGGAATATGGACTATATAAATGCTTAAAATTTTAATTTTTAAAAAATTAATAAATAAAGTTTCAGAATAGTTGAACAAAATGAATACATCAAATAAAATGAGATTATATTAAAAAAACAAAGCAAAAATACTAAAATGAGCAAAATCATATACTAAAATTAGTGTTTGTGTTAGTAGTCTCTTTACTTGTCTGAATATACTTCCAAGCTGTGGACAGGCAACTAGCATCTTTAAAGTTGATGCATAAATTCTTCATAACATACTTGTGTACTGTTGTCTTTCTGATGACTTGGTTTCTGGTCATAACAGAATATTTAAGAGCTTTTTATATAATTTCATCCAGTTACAACAACTGCATAAAATCCACAACTCTAAATCTCCAGCAATTCCACATCTTTAATTTCTTTCAAAAAGAAGATCCAGCCATGGATATTTCAAGTAATTTCTTTTTTCTAGGCCTGATATGCCTACATTAAACTGGATATGTGTGCATTAATGTATTCATTGTACTCTATTTCTATACTAAATCTACTTATTGATCATAACAACATTTAAATTATGCAATAAAGCACTTTGAATTTTATTTATAACTGTATTATAATTGTAATCAAAGGTTTGCATTTGGTTATTAAAGCAAATGCAAACCTACAATTATAATTATAATTAAAATTTCTTTAATTAAATCTTTTTTAAAATTCACATTGACACGAGAAACCATCAGAATAAATTCTTTTTAAACTTTTAGAATGCCTTTCAGCATTTCAATCTGGAAACCCAGTATCAAATCCAGATGAGAAAACAAAGGAATTTTTCAAAATTGGTCTATTCCACCCTAGATACGACAGAAAACATGATGAACATCAAAAAGATCTCAGAAAAAAAAAATTTAATAAATGAGTGAGGATATTGCAGCTTTGTTATATTAATTATGAGGTATATTCAATTTTATTTTATTCAAAATACTTAAAAGTTTTAAGAAATATAAAACTTACTTCATTTGGCTCATTAAAAATTGTAAAAAGTCCTTCAAATTCTGGTTTTGGCGTATATTCAAAATCTTCTACATCAGAAGAAATAATCTCTCTGTTTGTAATTAAGTATCCCTATTTAAAATTAAGATATTATAATTTCTTAATCTAAAAAAAATTTTTTTATTAATATGCAAAATTAAAATTAATTTAGTAAAATTTAATGAATTAAAATTCTTTAAAATTTTTAAAACATTGAATTTTTCTAAATACAACCTGTACTAAAATTGTGATAAAAATTAAGTATAGATAAGTTTAATAATAATAAATAATGTAGACTTATTAATTAAACACTGACTTCGTAGTGTATTTTGAAAACACATGGCAAATTTTCATCGTTTATCTTTATTTAGTTGGTACGGTACTTGGTATTTATGTGTATACTCTCAATTGTAATAAGTAATCAACATGCATTGTATTATAGTTGGCTGAGGAGGGGCAAAAACAGCCCAAAACGAGTACAGAAAAGCAGTGTTTAATAAGTCAACAATAGGAAAAGGACACAGTTTCAAAACAAATACAATAAGTAATGTATTCAATTTACATACAAAATAATTGGAGTTCTACTGTATATAAAATTATTAACTGTTGGTTGTGTTAATAGTTTTTTTTGTTGTTGTTTTTTATTTTTTTACTGTTAATATTTTTCAATTGGTGACTGTTAATGTAAATAGCTTTATATCAAATGTGCTGATGTTATGCTATGTATTATTATTTTATTTTACTTTGCATATTCCCCTCAATATGGTTCTGTTTTAAACTTAAATTCTATCGCATTGTTTTATGTACAGCGTATCTTCATTCATACTTAATTTTTTTACATAGTAGCATCTGAATAATTATATTTTAAAGAGTAATATAATAATAAGAACATATTAAGAATAAAGTATTTACTTACTTGTCCATCTATCATATAGGATATCATCATTATCTGATCAGTACTAGAATCTGGAAATTTTAATGGAAGTTTTGTTGTTTCTATATCATAAGCCAAAACAGTTACATCCTAAAAATAATAAAGATTATTGTCTTAGTTTCAATAGCAGAAAGCTGACTTTCCTCAAACTAATTTTTGGCTAGACTTCAGTTATTATAGCTAAGTAATTTGGATTAAAATAGACAATCAGGCTGCTATCTTGTACTAATATTAATTATTATATTAACTTTAAAATAAAATTTGATTCTAAAATTAATTTAGCCTAATTTACTTGGTTATAATAATTAAAGTTCAGCCAAAAGACAGCCTAAAGAAATTAGTCTTTTGGATAGTTGATTATAGAAATGAGTTTGCATGCTTATTATATTTGATATCAATTAATTATACTTACAGGAGTCTGTAATAAATCATCCCGTCTAACAATTTCTGGAGGTTCAGTTCCTTTACACCTCACTGAATACCAATGCCCAACAAAGATTTTTTTGTCAATGGAAACTCTTATATGATAAGGAACATCATATTCTCTAAAATTTTTTAAAATTTTAACAGTTTAATTTAATATTCTTAGTAAAAATTAAAACACAAAACTGAAAAATATTTTAATAATTATTTAGTTTTTATAATTATATTATTGCTTAATGCTACTTATATTCTAATCTAATAATTAAAATTAGTATTATTTTAATAATATGAAGTTAATCGTAAAATAGTTAATTATAGCAATAGTTTATGTTTAAATAAGATCTCTAATTTTGTATAAACGTTGAGGATGCACATAGTGTTTTACCAACATTGTGCTAACCATAACTTTCTAAATCATAGGGAGCACATATTTATGATTAATATTCTGCAAAAAACAAAATCAATTTAATGACTGTCAAAGTTTGCACTCATATAATGCTTTTCCATTTCAAGTACAACACCCAATGAATTAAGAAGTGTTTTTCATAAAATAGCTTTCCCGAAAGAAAAGGTATGATCTATATCTTAGTTTATTGTAACCCAGAGTCAATGAAACTACAGAACAGAGTATGAAAACCTCCATTATCATGTCATTCTATTTGCCAAGTTTTATAATTTATGGAGAGAGGATCAATGCTGGATAAAGAGTGAAGTAGTTGACTAAGAACTTCAGATGGAACCATTGTTCATATGAGAGATTTATTTATGTTTAGTCCCAGAAATTCCAAAGAATTAGTATAAACTTGTGCCATTGAAAGAATTTACATAATACTGGAATTACAAATTCTCCATTTAATGGTATGTATGAGTAGTCTTATATAAAAATATGTAACTATTTGCTTACAGAATGCAACTTCTGTAAGCAATTGACAAATGATATACAAAAAAGAAAAGAGTTTGTAATTACCATACTGGAACTTATCAATTTTAAGTAAAAGCATAAATGATCAAAAATAGATTAACTAATTAATTAGCAATAAAAAAAAATCATATCATTACAGGTATTTGTATGAAATTTAAAAATTACAATTACCGAATGTCTATGATATTCTCCATCTGTTCAGTAACTCTACCCACAATAATTTTCTCATCATTGGATGACATATTACTGGAATATAAATTTTTTAATTAAATATATCATTGAAGAGATTCATTAAAATATAATAATAAATTGATTTAAAATTAATGAATACTTCTTCAACATTTCTACATAGGTGGATCTAGATTTCATTCTGTCTCGGTTTTTTTTAATCGTCGGAAGTAGTTCTTTCCTAACTTTTATTAAATCTGACACAGTCAGAAAAGATAGTTTTAAATAAGTTTTTTTTAATCCAATTAGATGGTTAGGCTGTAGAAACAAGAAAAAAACATTTTAGAATAAGTCTAAATATAATTATATTTAAAATATAATAATTTAAAAATAACAAATGCAATACACTAAATTTTATCAGACTAAAAAGTCTTGTTTATTTTTCATTAAATGAAATTATTTTTAAAGCTTCTTCTTCAGATGCAAAGTTAAATATGTATCAATATAAAACACATTAATACTTATAAATTTACATAAACAATAAATCAAAAGCTATTAAAAGATTTAGCATTGATTCAGTTTTCAGCCAATTAATCCAATAAGTTTATAACAAAAGAAAAAAATAAAGTAAAAGTAAAACTTACCAAATCAAGATCTTCTTTTTGGATGATCTCAACTCGATAAAGACTTCCAGCAAATTTTCGAGTGAGAAAGGAAGAAACTTCCTGTTCACAATTATTTTTAACAGCAATATAAAAATAAGGATTAAAAGGAAATGATACTTTAAAGCGATTTCCATCTTCTTGAACAAAATAATAATCTACAGCACTAACTAATCTTCTGTCTTCATCTAAGATTTCAGTCTAGGAAAAAAGCAATGTTTATAGTTGAGTTTTTAATCATCACTGTCAGAAAGTTATATGGAGAAATATTTTTTTAAATGTATCATGAACAAAAAATTATTCTTATTAATTAAAGTTAAAAATAATAGTTACTTATTAATTCATAAAGGAAACCTTAATTTTCAATAATCCAGCATAAATTTTAATAAACTTTCAAAAATTTTCATTCCATTAAAATTTAGTTCAGTTCAGATGTAAACCATAAAGATTATACTTTCTATTTTAGAATTTATAGGCATTCCATAACATAATCTCCCAGTTTTTGAATTTGTGAAGTCATTTAAGTGCATGTTCTATATAAATTTATAAAATCAAAAGTTGACAAAAATTCCAGATTTTGAACGATATTAAAATGAATAAAACTAAAATATCATAATTAATTTTTGGTCATCATGCTTATGAATCTTCTGGACATTATTATTAGAAAAATTGCCAAGCTGCTGAAATGTTTTGCAATCTTTAAAGTTAAGGATTCTCCCTTTTTTGGCTGTTTTAAATATCTCTAAGGCTCTGATCTGGTAATTGTGAAAGGCATACTGAATCAGTTTGTCTTTTTCTAAATTTGCTTTCACTTCTAGTTCTAGAGTATGGCTAGAGTGGTGACATGATTCTTTTTGATGTTGTACTTACGTACTTTCAATCTTAAATTTAATGATCTGTTAGTGGATCCAATGTATACTAGACTACATTCAAATCTCTCATCTGCGGCAGAGATACTGTATACTCCTGGTGCTCTCAATATGTCTATATTGTCACTAACAGGTCACTAAATTTAAGATTGAAAGTACATAAGTACAACATCAAAACAAATCATGTTACCACTCTAGCCACACTCTAGAACTGGAAATAAAAGCAAAATTTAGAACAAGCCAAACTGATTCGGCATGCATTTCACAATTACCAGATCAGAGCCTTAGTGACTCTAGAGATATTTAAAGCAGCAAAAAAAGGGAAAATCCTTAACTGTAAAGATTGCAAAACATTTCAGCAGCTTGGCAATTTTTCTAACAACAATATCCAGAAGATTCATAAGCACGATGGCAAAAAAATAATTATATTTTAATTTATTAAACATCACTGCTAAACCTTTACTTCCGGTAAGATATATTATAAAAACAAACAAATGTTCTCGATCTTATCTAAGATCGGCCCAGGTTCTTGGATCACTTGAGTTCCAATTATGGAATGCTGAGAATTCGAATGTTTTTTAGATATAAGCTATTTAACAATTCAAGAAAAAAGATTTAAAATAACATAATAAATTAATATATACAAATACAGTCGACCCCCGTATAAGATCATTGATTATTCCGTTTTATATGAATTCCATGTTGTACGAGTCACTTAGATTTTACAAATACGTGTACCGGGCTGTGAACGGCTCACGTATTTGTAAAATTTAAGTGACTTGTACAACATGGAATTCATATAAAACGGAATAATCAATGATCTTATACGGGGGTCGACTGTATA